GTTTTGAACATAAAGAGGTATAATTTGTCAAATGCTTTCTTTGCATCTATTGAGATGATCATATGATTCTTGTCTTTAAGTCTGTTGATGTGATAAATTATGTTTTTCGATTTTTCATATGTTGAACCAAACTTGTCTCCCTGAGATGAACACCACTTGATCTTGGTGTACTATCTTTTAAAATATGTTTTTGTATGTGATTTGCCAGAATTTTATTGAGAATTTTTGCATCTATGTTCATCAGGATATTGGTATGCAGTTTTCTTTCCTTGATGTGTCTTTGTCTGGTTTTGGTATCACGGTGAGACTAGCCTCATAGAATGAGTTTGGAAGGGTTCCCTCCATTTCTATTTCATGGAATAATTTGAGGAGTATTAGTATTATTCTTCTTTAAAGGTCTTGTAGAACTTGGCTGAGAATCCATCTGGTCCTGGGATTTTCTTTCTTGGTAGGCTTTTGATGGCATCTTCTATTCCAATGCTTGAAATCTGTTTAAATTGTGTATGTCCTCCTGATTCAGTTTGGGTAGATCATATGTCTCTAGAAAATCTGAAATTGTCAGCAAATCTGAATTTGTTGATGTCTTTGAACTTTCTATTTTATTGGAATATAAACTTTAAAATAGTTTCTAATTATCTTCTGTATTTCAATTGTGTCCATTGTTATAATTCCTTTTTCATCATGAGTTTTAGTAATTTGATGTTCTCTCTCCTTAGTTTTGTTAGCATGGTTAAAGGTTTATAAATTTTATTTATTTTTTCAAAGAACCAACTTTTCCTTTTGTCTATTGTTTCAATTGTTTCTTGTGTTTCAGTTTCATTGATTTCAGCTCTGATTTTAATAATTTCCTATCTTCTACTACTTTTGGTATTGATTTATTTTTCTTTTCCTAGGGCTCTGAGATGTAATATTAGGTCATTTATTTGTTGACCTTTATTCTTTTAATGAATGAGCTCAGTGAAATAAACTTTCCTCTTAGCACTGCCTTCACAATGTCCCAGAGTTTTTGATATGTTGTATCACTATTCTTATTTACCTCTAAGAATATTTTTTATCTCTTCCCTGATGCAGCTACTATGCATTGTTCATTCACTAGCATATTATCTAGTCTTCAGATGTTGAAATAGCTTCTATTTTTTATTTTTTATAACTGATTTCTAATTTCCTTACATTATGATCTGATAGAATGCAAGGTAGTATCTCTATTTCTTTGTATTTGCTAAGTCTTGCTTTTGTGGCATAACATATGCTCTATTTTAGAAAAGGATCCATGTGCTACTGTGAAATAAAGTGTATCTCTATTGATGGATGAAATATTCTATATATGGCTGTTTAGTCTAAATTATTAATTGTATTATTAAGATCTATAATTTGTTTAGTTTTTGTTTGGAAGATCTATCCAGGGGGTGGGAGAGGTATGTTAAAGTCACCTAGTATTATTGTATTGTGACCTATTTGATTCTTGAAGTTGAGAAATGTTTGCTTGATGTATGTAGATGTTCCATTGTTTGGGGCAGAAATGTTTATGATTGTTATGTGTTATTGATATATGATTCTCTTAAACAGTATGAAATGTCCTTCTTTATCCCTTCTGATTACCTTTGGCTTGAAGTTCAGTTTATCTGATATGAGGATGGAAATCCTTGCTTGTTTACATAGTCCATTCTTTCATTCTTTCATCTTCAGTCTGTGGATGTCTTATGAGATGAGTCTCTTGAAGGCAGCATATTGTTGGGTCTTTGTTAAAATCTGATCTTCTAGTCTGTGTCTTTTTATTGATGAGTTTAGGCCATTAACATCCAGGGATATTATTGAAATATGGTTTGTATTCCCGGTCATTTTGTTTTATTTTTGATTTTGAACTTGACTTGATTTCTCCTTAGATTAGCTTTGACTTTAGTGTAATTCCTTCCTTTGCTGATTATCATTGTTGTCTTTCAATTCCTCCTCATGGAATATTTTGTTGAGAATTGTTCTATAGTGCAGGCTTTCTTATTGTAAATTCTTTTAATTTTTTTGCTTATAATGGGAGGTTTTTATTTTTTCAGCAAATCTGAAGTTTAATTTTGCTGGTTATAAGATTCTTGGTATCCATTTTCTTTTAGAGCTTGGAATATGTCATTCTAGGACCTCCTAGCTTTGGGAATCTGGGTTGAGAAATCTGCTGAGATCCAAATGGGTTTCCCCCTAATCTGAAACTTTTCTCTTGAGACCTTTAAAATTCTATCTTCATGTTGTATGGAAGGCATTTTCATTATAATGTGTCTTGGTATAGATCTGTTATAATTTTGTACATTTGGTATCCTGTAAGACTCTTGTATTTTATTTTCCAATTCATTCTTCAGGGTTGGGAAATGTTTTGATATTATTCCACTGAAAAAATTGTACATTCCTTTGGCTTGTGTCTCTGTGCCTTCCTCTATCCCAGAAAATCTGAAATGTGGTCTTTTCATGTTATCTCAATATTCTGGGAAGTTCTGCTCATGGTTTCTTACCATCTTCATTATGTGGTCAACTTTATTTTTAGGATTATATATTTTGTCTTCATTGACTGAGGTTCTGTGTTCCAAGTGATCTATTGAGTTTTTAATTTGGTTTATTGTTTAATTCATTTCAAGGATTTCTGTGTGTCTTTTTTTTCAGAATCTCTCTTTCTTGAAGTAATCTTTGGCTATCCATATTTGCTCTCTTATCTCTTTACAAAAGTGATCTTTTGTTGCTTGTATTTGCTTGCTTATATAACTCTTTACTTTGCAAATCATTTTAACTATGTACATTCTGAGCTCATTCTCTGACATTTATTCTACTGCTGTCAATGCATTCTATTTTTGTAGTATCTTGGTTTGTTTGGGACACTTTTTTCCCTTGCTTTTTCATGTTTGTTCGTGTGTCTTTCACTCTAGCAATGTGAATCCGAGGTATTACAGTTTCTACCCTATAGACTTATAGTGTCCCTGCAGGTTTCCAATACCTCACCTTTCAGGGAGAGATCAATATTAACAGCACACAGTGCAAACAATTTGCAGCCGTAAATCAAATGGCTTATATTTAAATGATTATAGTTTTGTTCCAATAAACAGAAATGATGTGCTCCATTATCAGCTACAATAAATACAAAAGGGTCTACAGTTTCTAATGGTGGACAAAGAGAGAACCGGGGGAAGGGGGTATAGGATGTGATGTATATGAGGTAGGAAGTGAGAATGTAGAGGTATTACATCATAAGAAGAGTGAAGAAGGAATCAAATGAAGTTGGCTGTTAGCACGAGAAAAGACAGAAAGACACTCCAAAGAAACAAATGAGAGGAAAATATATAGAGAGAGTAAAAGTATAAATAAATAAATAAAATAAAAAATGTAAAAATAAAAGCGTATACAACAAAACTGTAATATACTATTTAGACATCTCAGTACATGGGAATTTTGGACTTTAACCTCAATTTTGTGAAAAACCTAAAACATCTCTTTAAAAGTAGCTAACAATCAAAAGACTATGTGTGACTCAACTAGGAGTGCTCTCTCCACCAGGATTGCTGAGGCTGCTTTGGGACTCAGCAGGTAGCCTAGAAGGGAACTTTGAGATTCTTCTCACTCCCACAGACAATACACCTCCTTTTCATTTCCCCTTGATTTGTCAATCAATTTCTCCTTCTCTCCCTTCTTCCTAGTTTCCCCAGGTCTCAACCTAGCAGCCAGGAAGAGATAAGAAAAGGAGAAAAAGAAGGAAGAGGAAAAGGAGAAGAATGTGCTGAGAACAAATTGTTCACAAAGGTTCTCTGAAGTCTCAGAGAACAAAAATGGCTCCTGCCAACAACAAACAAACAAACAAAAATTTATAATCAAAGTGAAGAAAATGGATGACAAAATACAAGAGCAGGAATAGCTTTCTTGTGCTTCATTTTAGTGCTCTCAAATTAGGCCATCCTGCTGTCCTGCTTTACTCATCTCACTGACCCCAATCTCTGATTCCACTTGGCACCATCTCAAGTCCCAGAGAACTGAAATTCTGTAGACGGTGCAGAAGCCTTAAGGCCTTCAGCACACAGGGATCATGCTAGAAAGCATACCTGTTCTTGTTTTCAAAGTTCTGTTTCATCTCAGCACACTGGAGTTCCATTTCATTAAAAAGCTGAAAATGAAGTCATCATTAAACAACACTGTGTTGAAAACCTAGGCCCCACTCTGATTTGCTTCTTCTGAAAAGTCTTCCAAATCACAGGGGATGCCTCCCACCCCACACCTCCCCTAGTTGTGTTTTGCAATATCAGAGAACATGCTATTATCAAGGGAATGAAACAATTCTTGCCTTACTCCTTGTTGTTTTATACTTAATCAGTGCATAGTGTTGGTGCATGGAGACCATCTCTTTGATTAATTGATTTTTGTGGATTGGTCTGGTCTCTTCTGCTGGACTGTCATTTCTTTGTAAGACTGGCCTTTGGGTTTCTGGATAAATAACTCAATTGAAAGATCCTTTACTGAGCAAAGGACTTGGCCCAGAACTAACACTTAGATGCTGATTTTAAGGAACTTAAGGCTTAGTGTTATCCCTTCCTGTGGATAGCATGGTGGGGTTCCAGCAGATAGGATTTGCTTACTTTCAGGTGACTCCCTTCTAACACACCAGATCTTCTGGTCAGTGTCCCAACAGTCAGCTGAGATAAGGATTTAACGCCTTTGACTAGAGGTGAGGAGCCAGAGACTACCTGGTACAACCAAGGGGTCAGGCCCCAGAGGTGACAGGCATGATGGCAGCCAGCACATCTCCTCCACAGGATCACATCACAAATTAGGATATTCCCCAAAGTGGGGTATTTTCAAGATCACAATCTAGGTCCCTCCGTGGAAACAGTCTCTGCATGTTTGTCCTCAGCAGGGCCTGTGCTTATAAGTCACAATGTGCATGTTACCCAACAACACACTACTGTTGGGCTGTGACCTTATACAAATGATAAAACTTCCCTGAGCCTCAATATTCTTTCTGTAGAAGGACACATCAACCTGGCAGAGTTTTCAGATAAATAAGATAATGAATCAGTAGTGGAGGAGATCTCAGCCTGGGTCATAAGCTGGATTCCTGTAGGATTTGGACATACCTAGGATATACCAGAGAGTGAAAGGTTGCCTGCTGGGGGGTAGAATCTCACAAATTTGTGTCAATTACACTGGGGATGATATTTTTGAGCATAGTTCTATTCTATTATTCTAGCCCAGACCAACAGGCATATCTGCTTAAGGTGGGGAAAAAGGGACCATGACATAGTGGGTAATAAAATCTAAAGAAGTATCACTTATGCAGATCCCAGGAAGCATATAAAAATGATTTCATATAGAAATGATTCTGAAGAGTGACCTTTAACAGCTTAATAGCAACACAGTGGGCACTGGAGGCCTCCAGGAAGATTTGAGCAACACTGGAAGTTTCCTCCATGTGGGTGAAAATGGTAAGATCCAGGCAACCTCTGAAGCTGATCTCACCACAAAGGCCAGATGGGGAGTGACCATTGCCCCCTAGTATGGAGAGGAGGTTCACTTCCACTGAGGTTCACTGGAAGACACCTGGAGAACTCCCAGAAATGAACAAGTTAAACCTTGAGTGCTTGTTGTTATGGATGAAGATGGAGTCAGAGAGATACTATCAGTTGCATGGTCCTATCTTCAGAGTTCTATCATCTAGATAACATGGTTCATGGGAATAAAGTGCTTGGCGTCTTGCCTGGCACATTGGTGATCTGAAAATATTAGTCTTACCCCACCCAGAAAGATGTTGGCTAGTGCAAGGATCACTCACCAATTTCTGGTCAGCCTGGTGGTCTCTGTTCATCTGTTCTATTAATGCTGTCAGCTCTGAGATCTGCTCTTCAAGGTCACTAATTATGTTGGTCCTATGGGAGAAGTAATTCTTCTATTATCTACAGAACTTATAATTCATTGCAAGCCAGTCAGGCCCCTGGGATGATTAGAACCAGGTCATTTCTGTATTAGCTCCACCATTATGAGGTAGGCGTGACAGAATGGAGGGGTGCTCTTGGAGAAGGTTGGTTGTAGTTGAGTGGTTGAACCTCAGATCTAGCCTTTTGGGTGACCTGGCCAGAAGGGAGCAGGGTGGTTTGGTACCCTATTGAGTAAAGAGAAATAGGAATATGTCTGACATTGATTAGGGTTTGACCTTGACTTGATCATGATAGTTGAAATGCAGCAGGGTTAAGTTCAGAGGATTAGGAAATGAGACGGCGGGGAGTAGGATTCATGCGGACAGTGAATCATACACAAGAAATGGGCCAGAAATAGGACTAAGAGAGGAGTTAAGAGAGTGACTTTCAGAATAGATAATTATTTACTGTGTTTGTGGGCCTGAGGCTGCCATGCTATGTAAAATTACTCAGTTCTATCTGGTTGAGCCAGAGTAAACAGAGTAGCAAGTAATGCTATGTGCAGTGAAAGTGAAGGGAGTTCACTTGGCCAAACACTCCTCTATGTCTAACTGGGCATGAAAGCAAGTGAGGTAAGAAAACAAGACAGGATCTGGGGGGAGGGTAACAGAATCTGAGAAAGTCAAACAATACAGAACCCTTGTCTTCTGAACATGAGCTTCAGTGTAAGGAATGTGCAGACAGCTTTACCAGGGAATGAGACAAGCATGGGCTATTATGTTTTATTATGCCACAACTGGTGGCAAACTTCTTAGGAGGCCACAAAGTAGCTGTGGGTATTAGTGTGACTGGCAAGTACATGTACATGACCCATTCTCTTCCTGCTGAGGGTTGTGGATGATCAGAGAAAAGAGGACAGAGATGGAATAATCCCACTGGATGGGAAGAAGGGAAACTGGTCTGGCTTCTGGACCAGGTCAGAGGACTCCGGGCAACTCCAAAGCACAGTTTGACCCTCAACCTGAATCTCTTCTAAGCCTACTAATGGTTTGGCTGTGTCCTTTCTACACACTGACAGATGGGTAAGTGATTGGGAAGGCATGTATGTTTTCTGTCATTGTTTTCTGTTATTGGTCTTTTAGATGTCTGTCTAGAAAAATAATTCTGACAGAAGACTAAAGTCTGAAGGAAAAGACACTCAGAGTAGAGCTGGTAAGAAGTAAGGATGCCTGAACTCAGGGTAGTGAGGAAGGAAGATAGGAGTGAGAAATTGAGGAGGTAGAATTAAAAGGTGTGGGATTACGCTTCGTATGGCATTGGAGGCTAGCGAGAGGGTGGGCTTCAGTGACAGAAGATGACCGTGCTCAATGGAATGGCGCTGGGAACTTTCCACTCTGTATTTCCCAGAGGCATGAATTGAGTGGTATTTTTAGACTATTTATAGTGAAAGAAGAAGTGCATACTTGAGTCTTCCAAAAACTGACTTTACTCCTAATTTACATAGTCTAAATCTAGACTCATTCATGAATATTACACCTGTTTCTCACCCACAGGAACAATCACTCTCCTCAGTATGAATCACACTAATTCCATCTTCATCTCATCCTCTGGATTCACTCATGGATGGGATCAGAACAGAGCAAGATGGGTGTGGAGAGAAGCAGCATTGGGAAACAGGGGGCAGAAGAGAGGTGGCCCAGTGGCCCAGGCAAGGATGTCAGAGGCTTGTCCTTGAGGCCAGGTGGGATAGCTGAGAGGAGCTGGATGCTGGTCCTAAGATATTACCTGGACATGCTGAATTTGTCCATCATCTCAGATTCCAACCGCTTTTTCCTACCAAACATTTCATCCCCCAAGGTGACAGAAATCTGTTCCCGATGCCGGGCAAGTTGATAGCCAGGTGACACATTGATCACTTCCTGAGCGCCAATGGAGAAGAGAAAGTAAAATTGTAGACTTAGAGCCCTGAGAGTCCTCCAAGTCTACCATTGTCTTATCATCTGAAAAACAGAGTCATGAGATGGGATTCCAGGACCCTAGTTCCTTCCGCACCCTCTCCCAGTTACCATTCACCCTCAGATCTTTGAGATCCAATCCCAATGCTCAACTGCGCCTCCGCTGCATCCTCCATGCTGGATGGAGCCATTGTGGAAATGCTCAGGTTTTGGAATTGAACAGACCTGCCAATTCTCTAGTTATTTAACATCTCTGTGCCTCAGTTTTCTCATCTGAAACATGGGGGTAATAATTCTCTCTCAAAGAGCTTTTGTGAGGAAAAGTAAAACAACATAAAGAAATGACTAGCATGGTTGCAAAAAACCAAAACGAAAATGTCAGTTTCTTCTCCTTCCCATACGAGATGCCAAGTCAGATTCCTGGCAGGGCTACCAGCTGGTGTGGACCAGAATGAGATCCTTGCTTCTGGAGCTGCCAAATGACCTTGAGGCCCCTCGACATTATCTCCTAGAGCATCTCCACCTGGTCCTCTCTTTTACACTCACCTGGACATCACCCAAGGCTGTAGGCATCTTGCTCTGGTTTCTAATGACACCCTCCCAGCTGGCCTCTCTGCCTTCAGAATCACTTCCCTAAGTTCATCATCCTCTCCTCCTGGAGAGGCAATAATGTTTTTGTGTGTTTTACTTCCTGGTCATTAAGGAGTGCATGGTTCTTGTGGGATATGGTGGCGGGAGGGAAGCAAAGCAAAAAATAGCAAAAGGTTCCCAAAATATCCCATCAGAGGGCACATTTTTAAAAATGTAATTCTTTTTTTTTTTTTTTAGTTGTAGATGGACACAATACCTTTATTTTATTTGTTTATTTATTTATTTATTTGGGTGCAGGGATCAAACCCAGAGCCTCACACATGCTAGGCAAGTGCTCTACCACTGAGCCACAACCCCACTCCTAAAACGTAATTCTTACCTGGTTCTGTGCTTGTGTCAGACCCATAAACACTCCTGTGCAGAGCAGGGATCAGGCCCACACTCCAAGGCAGGTGTCAAGAGCCTTTTGGGTTTGCTCTCCATCTCTTTCCCCAGCATTCACTGCTGGTCCCTTCAGGTGTCCTGACATCCCCTGCCATGGGATTTGTGGCTTCCTGTACACCTGCGGAGGCTTCCTGCACCTGGGCACGAGCTACACCCTGGCCTGGACTAGCTGTCCCTGTCGGGTTTCCCTGGGACTCTAGCCCTGCATGAGCATAGAGTGGCAAGCAAACGCCTGACAGGCTAAGTCGTGGTTCCGCCATTGACCAGACACACGCTGTGCAATGATAACAGCACCTCCTCTTAGGAGCATGCAAAGATTCAGGAAGACAGCATGCGTAAGAGACCTGGGCCTACTGGGCAACTGCTGGATCAATGTCCTGTGATCCTGTCCCGTTGATACTCACATAAGGTGACTTACAACCCTCCTCTTGCCTTCCTACGTTGGTTTTCACTCTGCAAGAGAAAGAAGTGCTCAGGGCAAAGGCAAGCCCAAAGTTTAGGAGCTGCATCTGATACATCATCATCTGACCCTTCTTCTTGGAGCTCTGATCATCTGAATTTTAGGGGACTCCCAGGGTGGCTGGGTTTGATGGTTTAGATGTGGTGTTCTCCAAAAGTTCATGTGTGAGACAATGCAAGGAGGTTTGGAGAAGAAAGGATTGGGTCATAGCCTTCACCTAATCAGTGAACTAGTCTCTGATGGGATTAACTGAGTGGTAACTGGAAGCAGGTGGGGTGTGGATGGAGGAGGTGGTTCATTGGGGGCAAGGCTATGTATGTGGAGAGTGGAGAGTCTCTCTCTGCTTCCTGATAACCATATGAGATGCTTCCCTTCACCATACTCTCTGCCATGATGTTCAGCCTCACCTAGACCCCCGAGGAATGGAGCTGGCCTTCTATGGACTAAGACATCGGAAACCATGAGCCCTCAAATAACCTTTTTCTCCTCTACAGTTGTTTTGGTCAGATCCTTTAGTCACCGCAGTGAAGAAGCTGATGAAGACACTAGGGAACCCATTGAGGCACAGCCTCAGGGGGGCTGCAGTCTGAATGAGACTCATTGGGCTAAAATCAAGGGGTCACCAGACTGTTTTTTTCTAGAAGCTTCCTGTGTCCCTAGTGGCCTTTTCCTCCAACTTCAAAACTAACAATCACTTCACTCCAACCTGTGCTTCTGTTGTCATATTTCTTCCTCAGACTCTGACATTCTGACTTCCTCTTTCATGTAAAAAGGACCTTCCCGATTTCACTGGGCCCAACTGGAAAATTCAAGATAGTCTCTCCAACTCAAGGTCAGTTGATTAGCAGCCCTAATTTCATCAGCAACCCTAACTCCTCCTGGCAACCACACAACATATTTATAGTTTCCAGGGATTAGAAGGTGGACATCTCTGGAAGGCAGCCGAGGGGGATGAGCATTGTCTGTTCTACCACATCATCTCCTTCCGGTCCCTGAGCTCGTCTCCACCACTGCCCCCCCCACACACACTCATGCCATCCTGACCTCCTGTGGACAACGGCAACCTCACACCCCCTACTCCCTTGGCCTGCATTATTTTTCTCTATAGTGTCGCTACCCCCACTAGACTGGAAAGCTCAAGGGAGGGGACACATTGTCTTCATGGCTGTGTCCCCTGTACCCCAAACAGCCCCTGACAAATAACAGGTGCTCAATAAACATTTTCCAAGCAAATAAATAAGTGATATACAAAGATTTCTGAAAAGACCTAAAGCTAAGTCACACTTCTTGTGACTTGTCAAATGTGATTAAAACAGAGAGGCTATCTATAGAGAATCTTTAGGTGCAGGAATGTAATCAGTGAAGGTGAGTCACCACCCACCATAACTACATGGGCGCTCACCAAGTTTCCAGAACTGTGAAAAGCATGGTCCTTTATAAGGCAGGAAAGAGCTAAGGAGGGCTTCCCTGCTGAGAGCTCATTATAGTGACTTCAGGAGTTTTGGATACAGAGGACTATAGGATTTACCCACAGGGCCTGAAGTTTTAAGGGAAATTCCAATGGATTCTGACAATTCTCTGATGTCCTTGGAAGCAGATTAGTTCAAGTCAGGCAGGACCGGGTATGTCGGGAATTAATTCATTCACATGCCCCAAACCATTCCTGCCTCCCAGATCCAGAAATACGTACTTTGGGACATCAACAGGTTTTGTTGATGGTGGGGATTGGAGGTAATTTTGTTCTTTTGTAGCCGGTAGAAGAGGAGTTGACCTAAAAGTGAAAAATAAGTAACTCAAAAAGAGAACAACGGAAATTCAAAAACCCGATTCAATACTCTCCATTAAGTACAAACTCACAGGACCCCAAATTGAAATATATGGCTTGAAGATCTGAGGCCTTTAAGACCTCAGACCCAAGGCCCTGGCACTTGTCCATTGTGCTGGGGAGTCCCCAGGTTAGCAGCCCAGCTCATCCCCCAGAGCTCTTGTCCTAAAGGGAGGAGACAGCTGCCACCAAAGATTCTCAGTTGGAAGCTGCATTTTCCCTGTGGCACCAACACTGAGATGTCCTCATTGAAAACAACACTGAGCCTCAGGCAGGACTGATGAGATCAGCGTGTAGCCCCCGCCAGGCTGGCAGAGAAGGCTGTGTGAAGCTAGGCTTTCTGGCCCATTTGGGATTTTGCAGCCAAGCTTATTATTTTTGAAAACTTGTGACAAGAAGAAGGCTGCAAATGAAACCCAAGCCCCCTGCCCCTACCCCATCCCAGTTAATCCTTACTTGGACTTCCTGGTAGGGGCCTTGTTTGGTGGCTGAAGGGTCTTGATTAGCTTCCGTGGTCCCAAGTTCCAGGGGTCCCAGCAGGTACAGTAGATGAGAGGGTTGTGGTACATGTCCCCAGGTCAGGAGCAGCCTTGGCTGCTAGATCTTTTAGAAGGTTTTTGCTGAAATTAGAAAACAACAGCAGAAAGTTACGTCATCTAGAATCAAAGCAAAACTAGGGACAAACTGGGAAGGACCCAAAGAATAATAATGGTAGATGACTTCAGAAGGTGCTGATCTGGTGTCAGGTCTTGAGGATAGAATAACACCTCCCTTCTTGCTACCCAATAGACTTGACTTGAAAGCAATTTAAAATTTTCCAGAACTGAGTTCTTACTGTGATGCAAGTACACAATAAGTATTCAATTTTGCTATCTCATGTTTACAGATGAGGATATTCAGAGAGGTCAGAGAGATAGCAAGTTGCAGAGTTGGGAACAAACAGAAGTCTCCCTGATTCCTAAGCTCCTGCTCGTCCCTCAGGCCACTCTGGCTTTCATTGATGTGAGGAGAAATTCACAAAGCAGGAACTGCATAGAATTTTCTGGAAAATTAGCTGTCAATCAAGCTACTATGCAATCTCACCTGGTCTCCTGCCTGAATTAGAGTGAAAACTCCACTTCCTGTCTCCATAAAGACAAACTCCCTTTCATGAAGGGCTGCATTCAAGACAACTCTCAGATAAGCATGAAGCCTTAACCACTCTTATTTATTTTCATTATTTTGCAGAACCCTGCTCAAATAATTAAGAATTAAGAGAGTTTTAATTCTGTGAGCACAAGAATATGGGAAAGGAGACAAAATTGCAAAAGGGATTAGCACATGTTTGGTTAAAAAATATTGCATAAGAAAGTAAACATAATCGTAGCAAGGTACACATTCATATGTATGGATGTAGACACTTAATATTAAAAAGTGAATTGTGATTTCACTGGAAGAATGGGGGAGGGAAACAGAAGGAGAATGTGTAGCAGCTAAATCCTTGTTTACTGTACCAGGAATTAATAGAGAAGGTGGAAAATTGAAAAATTAACAAAGTGGGCTGAGAGTGTGACTCAGTGGTAGAGCCCTGGCCCAGCATGCATGAGGCTCTGAGTTCCATCCCCAGCATCACAACAGCACCAGCACCAAAAAGGCAAAATTGTTTAGAAGCATGAGGTTAAATTCCAAAAGAAATAGCTAAAAGAGTTGAAAATAATTGCCTCTCAGGAGCATTCTGAGGAATACAACTGGCAGGGGTTAAGGGTGAGACAGAGACTGGGACTTTTCCTTAATGTATTTTTAACATTATTTGATTTTTAAGTGACATCGGCAGATTATTTCATTAAAAATGAAACAAATACCAAAATGTTATGAAAACTGATAACCCAATAGAACTTTTAAAATGCTAGTAGATTTAAAACTTCAATTTCTAAGACAATAGCTGATTTCAACACTACAATGGAATAAATTTGTGTAAGTTGAAAAATGAAAGAATAAATCTTTTTATTTAACATGACTGGTGCATGAGAAACTCAGGCACTTGGTCTAAGGACTTTTAAGCTATAGGGGACTTGAAGATTAGGTCTCTTTACAGACATGGACACTGAGAAACAAAGATGTGAGGGGACCACTCGCCCACTTGTAAATGCTGATTTAACAGCATAAGTACTGACAGGCCAGTGCTGTGAGCATTCTGTTAAACACTGAGGGATAGGAAGACCTGGGCCTTGTCCTCGGGGAGTCTGCAGTCAGTGGAGAGTCAGCACAGTGATCTGAGCTGGCTGGGTGCAGAAGTGGGACCTGGCCTTGGAAGACAGGCAGTGAGGGCAAGTGGAGGTGGTGGGCCAGGGGCCTAGGACCAGGGGCCTACATGGAGGAGAAGCCAAGGCTAAAAAGGAGACCAGGCCTGAAGATGCACAGCTGCCATGTATAGCTATCCTTTCTTCACTGTGCCTGGGGGCCCTGTCAGGAGATGTCACATGTCAGTGAAAGTCAAGCAGACAAGGTCAGGGAAGCTGATGTGGTTGAGAATCCTGGTGAAAAGAGGAGGCCACAGGGGCTAGGATGTGGGTGAGCGTTGGGAAGGAAGTAGCTGCAGTGGCAAGAAAGCAGCTTTACTTCTGCTTAGACACAATAAAGAAAGGTGCTGACCCTGAACCTAGGGGATTTAGCAGCAATCCCGGGGACAGGAAGTGAAAGGCCAGGCAGGCCAGCTCCTAGCAGCTTCCCTCCCTCTTCCATGTTTTGCCTGCTCAACTGGACTGTGCAGTTCTTGAAGGCCAGGCCTCCACCGTGGCTTGCTCTGTGCTGCCCACTGAGCCCAGCAATGTGAGTTGTGTTAGATGAATGTATTTTACCTGAGTAGTAACTTGGGTCATTGTAACCATAGGAACCAGCTCAACAGGAAGAAGAGAATCCACTGATGGAACTGCCAGAGCATTATAATCATCATTACAGTATTATAGATCATATTAAATACTAGGCTTCAAAACCCAGAATGCATAGGTCAATTTGGATGTGTGGAGTTTTACATAAATGTTAAACAATTATTTAAAATCTGTGGAGGGCTGGGGATGTGGCTCAAGCGATAGTGCACTTGCCTGGCATGCGTGCGGCCTGGGTTGATCCTCAGCACCACATACAAAGATGTTGTGTCCACCAAAAACTTAAAAATAACCATTAAAAAAATTCTCTCTCTCTCTCTCTCTCTC